TCAGCTCACTGCAACCTCCGCCTTCTGGGTTCAAGCCATCCTCCCACCTCAGCCTCCCTAGTAGCTGGGACTACAGGTGCATGTCACCATATGGGATTTTGCATGTCACCATATGGGATTTTGCATGTTACCAGATGGGGTTTTGCTATGTTACCTAGGCCAGGCAGTCCTTCTTGTTAATTGAAAAGTAAAAATTGTGTACATTTATGGTGTAAAACATGTTTTGATATGCATACATTGTGGAATGACTAAATCAAGCCAATTAACACGTGTGTTACATTTTTTTTGTGGTGAGAACTTCAGATCTACTCTTAGCATTTTCAAGTGCATAATCCGTTGTTATTAACTGTAGTCACCGTGATGTACAGTAGATCTCTTGAACTTATTCCTGCTGTCTAATAGAAATATGTGTTCTTTAGCCAGTATCCCCTCAAGTCTCCCTACCCACCCGCCTCTGGCAACCACGATATTACTGTCTGTTTCTATGAGTTCAACATTTTTAGATCCCACATATGAGTGAAATCACGTCTCTCCGTGCCTGGCCAATTTCACGTAACATAATGTCCTCCACATTCAGCCATGTTGTCACAAATGACAGTATTTCTTTCTTTTTTAAGTCTGAGTCTATTATGTATATGTACCAGATTTAAGAAATAATAAGTCTATTATGTATATGTACCACATTTTAAAGATTCATTCTGCCATTGATGGATACTTTGGTTGATTTCATATCTTGGGTATTGTGAATAATGTGCAGTATTCTTTTAAAAATGACTGTGTTGTGTGGACAAATCAGAGTCTATTTACATAATCCTCTTTTAATGGACATTAAGTCATTTCCCATTTTCTGATGTTCTAAACCTGCATCCTTCAATATGCTAGCCACCAGCTACATGTGGGAAATTGACTAAAATAATAAAAATCAATTTCTCAGTCACATTAACCACATCTCTTATGCCCAGAAGCTACATGTGACTAGGACATAGAAATTTTCTATTATTGTATGGAATTAAATCAGACAGTACTGTTGTAAGATACTGCTTTCAGACTTTTAAATTTTATTTTAATTTATTTTTTAAGACAGGGTCTCGCTGTATTGCCCAGGCTGGAGTGCAGTGGTGCAATCTCAGCTCACTGCAGCCTCTTGGGTTCAAGTGATTCTTGTGCCTCCCACCTCTTGAGTAGCTGGAACTACAGGCGTACACCACCAAGCCTGGCTAATTTTTGTATTTTTAGTAGAGACAGAGTTTTACCATGTTGGCCAGGGTGGTCTTGAACTCCTGGCCTCAAGCAGTCCACTTGCCTTGGCCTCCCAAAGTGCGGGGATTATAGGCATGAGCCACCAGCCTGGCCTCAGACTTTTTAAAATTCATTCTTCCATTCATTCCTTTATTCATTCTATAAATAATTATTGGGTGCCTCGTATGTGCCAGGCACTGTAGTAGGCACTTGGGCATCTCATTCATAAAGGAACAAAAATATTTGTCTTCATAATGCTTACAGTTGATCCACAAAAGGTTTTTGAGTACTCACTCTAGATAAATGTATATGAATTTATAAGTTGTATGTGTATTATTCTATGCTGCTATATCATAAAACATGTTCAAATAGGAATAGAAAAGAATAAGAAAGATAAAAATGTAAATAATTCCTGAAGTAGTCTTCCTGTATCCCACTTGGAGGCCACTGTTCTGAATGATTTTCTTGTCCTAGATGATCATCTGTAAAGGTTGTTCTAGTGCTGCAACTGAGATTTTATTTATTATTATTATTATTGTATTTTGAGACAGAGTCTTGCTCTGTTGCCCAGACTGGAGTGCAGTGGTGTGATCTCAGCTCACTGCAACCTCCAGCTCCTGGGTTCAAGCTATTCTCCTGCCTCAGCCTCCCAATTAGCTAGGACTACAGGCACATACCACCACACCCAGCTAATTTTTATATATTTAGTAGAGATGCGGTTTCACCATGTTGGCCACGCTGGTCTCAAACTCCTGACCTCAAGTGATCCACCCGTCTTGGCCACCCAAAGTGCTGGGATTATAGGCATCAGCCATTGCTCCCAGCCCAGCTTTTAAATAGCTTTCAAATAGATATTCCTATTTGGATATCTGTTCTAAATCTATTTATTTTATTAAAAGAGATTTCCCCTTCCCCCCCCCTTTTTTTTTTTTGCTATCTATAGGCTTTTTCCTATATCATTTGAGTTTGTTAATTTACTTATGTACAGCTAGCCTTCTGTATCCACTGGTTCCACATTTACAGATTCAACCAATTGTGAATCAAATAGATTTAGGAAAAATACTAAAAAATAACAGTACTGGCCAAGCTCATGCCTGTAATCCCAGCACTTTGGGAGGCCAAGGCAGGTGGATCACCAGTGTAGATTTTCACGTTAAGTATTTTTTTAGTTAAGATGGTCATGTTTGGATTTTTAAACTTAGATCTCAGGGTTGGATGGACTCTGTATAGGACAGAACCTAAGCACAAATAACTATGTAGCTCCTGCTGTTAGCAGGAAGCAAAGTCATCTTTCAGAGGTGTGTGTCGTTTATTCTTGCATTCACTTAAGAAATATCAAACAATATCTCCTAGGTGGAAAAGGGGCTCAATTCTGAAAGAGAATTCTCCCACAGGCTTTTTTTTTCTTGGATAGAGATATTTTATTCAGTGGTTTTATAATGACAGCAATAGTTGCTGCTGCTACTTATAGAATTTTTCTATGTAGTCACATTGACATATGTAGTGATATATTTTTAAAATTTATTTGTTTATTTTAGACAATAAATTAGGACTTCATGATGCTATCATTTGGCACAACACAATTAGGCTTTTTTTTTTTCCTTTTTCTTTTTAAATATAAGGCAACTTGCCAACACATAATTTAAAAACAGGTCTTCAGTCACATTGTTTCAGATCACTAGAGAATTTCTGGCTAAAGAACAGTAGTAGATAGTGAACGAAATGCAAAATCTTAAATAAGAACCATTAGCTCACATTCCCCAGAGACAAGAGGAAAGATAAGGGCTTATTTCATCTTTTAAAAAAAAAAAGCCCAACGCTGCATCTTTAACAGAAGGGTACAAAAATTTATAACAAAATAATTGAATTTTAAAGTTACAGAAAAGTATTAAATTTCTAGCCAACTAATTGTCCTTGGAGATGAGACACAATGAGCAGGGAGTGGATAAGGGTATGCTCTAAGAATGGACAGAGGGCAGGAGGGGCTGTTTCCAATGCAGGCTCTTCTCCAGGTGTTAGAACCATGCTCACTTGGTAAAGGAAGTATTCAAAGAGCTTAAGGCTTTTTTTTTTTTTTTTTTTTTTTTTTTTTCACTAAACTGAGGGGCTGCATTAGAGGGTGAATTTACCTGCAGTGCCACTCACACACAATGCTACTCACACCCACACTGCATTCATACAGAAATGTAACATTTAAAACTTACAGTGTAGAGCAATATTCTTAGCCAGTGTAGAGAGAACCAAATGCATTTTTTTTTTTTTTGGGTGTTTAATCCCAAACTCCAATGTGATAATTCCTTACCTGCCTAATTCCTCAAGTAAGGTAGATTTTATTTGTTTTGTTTTGTTGATGGGGAAAGGATAGGGGCTGTGGGCAACAGGTGAGTTAGGGGACAGGCAACAGTGAGAAAGGGATCTTGGGTATGCCGAAAAGTCACTGTGTTTTTCTGGGTTTGGAAAGCGGAGTCTGGAACCAAGATGCCAATACAAAGATTTTTTCCCCCTGTATCTCAAGAAATGGTCAAATACCTGCAAGATGCCCTTGAAGTCAGGTGTGGCAAGGGCCAGTGCGGTGGCTGTGGAATCAGTGTAGACACAAAACAAAGCCTTGAGGAACGGAAAGGAACTGGAAGGGTGTGAAGACTAGGTCAGCTTTGATTTGAGATCTTTGGGTGAATAAGGAATTGGCTTCCAGAGCACTTGGGAAATCTTGCTTCTTAATCCTGGGTGGAGAGGGACGGGGACAGCAACAGGTAGAGGCCTGGCTTAGGGGCCTGAGCACCTATACTGTCTCAGCTAGGGCATTCCCTCTGCCCACACCTCGGTCGTCCTAAGAGAAACAGGCAGAGGTTCAAAACAAGATGGGTGGGAGCTGGCTGGAAATGGCCAAGGTGGAGAGACTAGCTGACAGGCAGTCAGTGGAGAGAAAAGCCTGGGCTTGGGCTTAGGTCGTAACATAAAACCAAAAGTTGTTGAAGGGGAGGATGAGAAGACACCATCTACCCCCAGTTAGATCCCACCAAATTCCCTTTCTTAGACATCTGAGAATCATCACACTGGAGTGGTGAAACTTTGAAACTATCCAGTTACTGAAAAGGCTAAACCTAGGTGGGTGACATATGATGTGTTGCATGTGGAGGGCACCAGGGCTACCTGTCTATACCCTGGTGCTGAATAGGAAGACGTAGACTATCTGTGGGATCGGGGGCTTGGTTGCCAGGGCTCGATGGGCCTTGCTCCATATGGCCAGGCTGTGTTCTTGGAAGCAGGCCTGTTGGAAATCCCCACTTAGGTAATCTACTTTGCATCAAGCTGTTCTGGCTTGCCACTGGACTGCCCCGGTCCCTGCTCGGTAGTGGGCCCCAGGAGCTGCCACACAGTTGAGGGGTATACCTGTGGGCTGCCCACCGTGGAATGACATGGCAAGGTCCTGAGGCCCCGAGCTGTCGCTATTGGGAGTGGGCAGAATGTTGTTCCACAAGGGTTGGAAGTAGTGACCACTGGGGTAGGCTGGTGGGGTTGCCAGGCTGTTGACTGCTGGGGATGGGGTTGACTTTTCCAGGGATGGCTTCAGATGGAAGGACTGTGCCAGGCAGAGTTCCTGCAGGTAGGCAGGGGCCTTGCCCACAAAGCCGGGCCTTGCCCACAAAGCCAGGCCCTGCCAGCTCGCATCCTGCCACATGCTTGCCTGTCAGGCCAGGGGCTGGCATACCACCAGCCTCACTGCACATCTGTTGTAGGTGGCCAGCTGGTACTAGTTCTAGGTAACTAGCTTGAGGTTGCTAGGGTAGCCACTGGGGGTGCGAGAGATGCCTGCAGGCAGGTTAACAGGACCTGCAGCAGGCAATGTGGCGGTGGCCACATGGGTGTGCTCCATTGACCACACATGAAGGCATTGGTGTGGGGACGCTGTGGGTTGACACCCGGGTGCTTGCATTGATAAGCAGACTGCAACTAATGGGGCTGGGGTTGGTGATCTGGCCCTCACACACTGAGGTAGTGCTGACGCTGGCCCTCATCTGGCAAAACTGGTTGATCTGGTGCATGATGCTACTCAGGACCAGGGGCTAGCTGTGCTGCAGGGTGGCCACCATTGAAAGGAGGATGGTTAAGGTAGACATGGTCACATTCGGTGGGGGCATCTGAGTCTGGCATCTTCCGGCCTCCATGCAGCAAGGGATTGTGGGGGTGCTGGAGACACTGGTGAGCCAGGGCCTGAGGGTGGACTAAGCCCTGGGTTTGGGCCATGGGCTGAGGGTGGCCCAGGCCCTGAGGCTGCTGGAGGCTCTGAGGGTGGCACAGTACCTGGGGTGGCGGGATACGCTGACGGTGCTGCAACATCTGGGGAGGGGCATGGGCCAGTGTCTGTGCATGCTGCAGGGCCTGCTGGTGGGCCAGACCCTGGGCCTGGTGGTGGGCTAAAGTGCTGGGTGTCACAGTAGCATAGGATGCCAATGGGGGGTTCGTGATAGCCTCGGGGAGCAACCGGGCTCCAGTGCCATCAAGTCATTGAGGTATGCTTTTGGCTGGCACTTTGACAATGGCAAGCAGGCCTGCCTTGGCAGCAGCCTGCATCACATAGGGGCTGTAGCGCTGCGCTGATGTGTCGAGGCTGTTCACAGAAGGTGTTTCTTTTGGGGATTAAAGTTTATTTTTTAATTGACAGATAATTGTACATATTCATGAGTTACATACTGATGTTTTAATACATATAATGTGTAGTGATCAGATCAGGGTAATTAGCATATTCGTCATCTTAAACATTTGTTATTTATTTGTATTGGTAATTTTAATATCTTCTTGCTAGCCCTTTGAACTATATACTAATTGTTAACTATGGCCATCTTACGGTGGTGTAGAACACTGGAACTTATTTCTCCTACCTGGGTGTGATTTTGTATCCTTTAGCAAATCTCTCCCTGTCCTTCCCTTCTCTCTTCCCTTTCCAGCCTCTAGTATCCTCTGTTCGACTATGAGTTTTTAGTTAGAGAATTCTGAAGGCCATAATGGATAATGCTATTATTAAGAGCAAATTCAGGAATGAAAAATTCAGTTGTTGTTTTTTCTTCCTTTGTTTTAGGGCAAGTTAAAGTCTTCAGAGCGCTGTATACGTTTGAACCCAGAACTGTAAGTATTCAGTTTTTTACTTTAAAATTGACAGAAAAACTTAAGATAATTTCATTTAGACACTTCCTTTGGTATGAATGATTTGCTTTTCTTTGATAAACCTAGGTAATTCTCAGGGATAGTTGTTGGGTCCAGAGCTGTTTAAGTTAAGCCCCAGGCTGATTTGCATGTCTTCTGCACCTGGAAGTCATGTCCATTCTGTAAAGCTTCTTCCCACATGGTAACACCAACTGCTTTCAGATTGACACTTGACTCGCATGTGAAGCACAGCAACCTTGTCTTAGTCGTCCTTCTTCTGAATCTCATGCAAACCTTCCTGCATTCTCCCCTTGACCCCCTACCTCAAAATAGCTCTTAATGGTACCTACTGCTAACCTTCTAGAACAATTGTTTATTTCTCTGCAGTGTGTATTTCCCATTATTATAGTTTCTGGTATCCATCCATTTATCTGTGGTTTATTAAGTGCCTATTATACGCCAGATACTGGTCCAGGCCTTGGGACTAGTGCAGAAGGACAGAAAGGACAGTCTCATAGAGCTTGCATCCAGTGGAGAGAGACAGACAGTAAGTAGACCAATAAATGTGACTGTCAGGGGCTAAGTACTCTCGAGAAAAATAAGGAGGGTGAGGGGCAAAGAAGTTAGTGGAGAAAAGAGTGCTGTCTTCGAAAGCGTGTTCAGAGATGGCCTTTCCAGAGAGGTGGCCTCTGGGGAGAGACCTGAAGGAAGTGAGGGAGCAACAAGTGCAAACGGCATCCTTGGTGGATGCTAGAAAGGAAGAAGCAGGGAAGACAGCGTGGCTTCGAAAGTTGCAAACACAAGAGAGGGTGGTGAGAGACTGCTTCAGACAGTTGGGGTGGATTGGAAAGGCGGAGCATGTAGGGCCTGTGGATCTCATTTGGATTTTGCTCTGGGTAAGATTGGAGGTGAGTGGATGGTTTTGACACAGTAGTGACTAGATAGTGAAGCAAGGAGTCCAGACAGGAGGCAGAGGAAGGAAACCAAGGTTTCTTGGGGAGGAGTGTTTTAGTTTGTTTTCACACTGCTGATAAAGATACTAAAACTGGGTAATTTATAGAGGAAAAAGAAGTTTAATGGACTCATAGTTGCACATGGCTGGGAAGGCCTCACAGTCGTGGCAGAAGGTGAAAGGCACATCTTACATGGCAGCAGACGAGAGAATGAGAACTAAGTGAAAGGGGAAACCCCTTATAAAATCGACACATCTTGTGAGACTTATTTACTACCACAATAGTATGGGGGAAACTGCCCCCATGATTCAGTTATCTCCCGCCAGGTCCCTCCCACAACACGTGGGGATTATGGGAGCTACAATTCAAGGTGAGATTTAGGTGGGGACACAGCAAAACCATATCAAGGGGAAACCTGCTATCATTGGCTTTTCTCTCTTATATGCTAGGGACCAGAGCTTTCGCTCTGTGGGAAGTCAGCTTGCTGCCAGCTTCATCTGGGTTTTCCCCAAACCCTGCTCTCCCCAAAGCTAGAGGCAACTCAGAAGGTCACACAGAACAAGTGACACTGAACATCAATTCACTGCCATCAGGCCAGGGCCTATGTTCAAATCCCAAATCTGTCATTTACTTATTGTGTGAATTTTCTTACCTCATGGCCATTGATTCCTCATGTGAAAACGGGGATACCATTCTGCAGTGGAACCCTGCCGTGAGCATGGAGTGGGGTGAATATTGAAGGCCTATCATCTGGTGAGCGCCAGCATATGGTAGCCACTAATAGACTAATATAGAGGTGTGCATATTCAGACAGTTCTCCCAAGACTTTGTACATGAAATGTTTCTGGAACAAGAAAGGTGGGGTTTTTATTCTTCTCACCAAGAGTCCACTGACTACTCGCCTGTGTTGGTGAGGGATTGGAAATGGGTAGTGTTAATTTACTGAGCTTGCCATAACAAAGTTCTACAGACTGGGTGGCTTAACCAGAGGAAATTCATTTTCTCACAAGTCCAGAAGCTAGAAGTCTGAGATCAAGATGTCGGCAGGGTTGGTTTCTTCTGAGGCCTCGCTCCCTGGCTTGTAGATGCCTGACTTCTCTCTGCGTCTTCTCATGGTCTTTCCTTCTTATGTCTGTGTTTTCCTCTCCTCTTCTTACAAAGATGCGAGTCATTGGATTAGGGCTCACCCTAAAGACCTCGTTTTAACTTAATTAACTCTTTAAAGTCCTTATCTCCAAATACAGTCATATTTGGAAGTACCGATTCTCAGCTGATGATGAACCCAATAAACTCATTGTAAGACAAAAAAATCCCTAAGTCAAATATGCATTTAATACCCTGATAAGCCCGTTGTAAAGTTGAAAAATTGTTAACTTGAATCATCATATGTCAGGGGCATCTGTACTGGGGGTTCAGACTCTAACAAGAATTTGTGGTAGGGAGAGGGCACAAAGAGCCCCCTAACAGGGAAGTGTGAGGTCCAGGGCTATTGTCTTTAAGCCCTGCTTGCAAGGAGTGCCGTCTTTCTTGCCTCTGCTTGTCCTTATCAGTTGGTTATGTGATCCTGAGGGGGATAAGAGTGGGGGAGCGGATGGGTGGTCAGATGCCAGCCTGGGACACTCAGTGAATAGACCATTCTCTGCTGCCTCCTCGATTCTAGAATGGGACCTGAATTTACTTTGTTTTGAGACTGTAGGTGACTCCTGACTGTATCTCCTCTCTTCCCACGCGTGCATTGTTGGCCCCACCTCTGTCCTTTCTCACCGACCTCCCTCTTCCCCTTTGCTTCCTCATGACCTGGTTGTGACTTTCCTTACTTCTCACCTACAGACTTGGCTCCTCCATTCCATCTGTAGTCTGGACTAGATTGGTGTTCCTCAAAGGTGGCTTTGCTTCCACCCCCTGCTTCAACCTTTTATTTGACTAGAAAAGTCATCCTGTATAGTCCAGCCCCTATTCCAGACCCAGTGTGCTCTGCTCCTTCCCCTTCTTGAACCATCCCGCCTAGATGTGACTCGCAGTAGAACCTGTGGCTCAGCACCTTCTAGACCCATGGCCCTGTCCCTTCCAAGCTCACATTAAATACCCCCTCTTCTGTAAAGACTTCTCTGACCAGTCCAGCTGGAGGGGGACCACCTCTTCTGCCTCTGAACTTCCACACTTGGTGTTTCAGTCCTGCTCACGGGCACAGCATCTGAGGAAGCAGGGCAGCACGGGGTTCAGAGCTCGCACTAGGGTTCAGGACCAGCTCCGCCTCTTGAGCAGCTGTGTGACTTTAAGGAAATTACCAAACCTCTCTGTCACAGTGTTCTCATCCGTAAATTGAGGATAATAATAGTCCCGCAGGGTTTTAGTGAGAATTAAATGAGCTGAATTTTGTGAAACTGCTGTTACTGTTAAGGAGTAATTGTTACTATCTAAGAAATAGTGGTTACTGTATTAATAGACATTTAATAGACATTTTTGATGGGGTGTGTATTGATTTATTTACTTCCAATTCTTCTCCAAGATGGAGTTTCTCTACTGCTTTAAAAGAAATCTTAGTTATTTTAGAATATACAGGCGAATATACATTTATTTCATTAGGCTTTAAAAAATACACTATATTTAAAATGTTGCATTTTTAAATATTTTTAGTCCCCAGGATTGTAGGCTACAATGAGTAATGACCACCTCAAGCCCTGTTGCCTCCAAATTTCTCCCCTTCTCAGCTCCTTTCAATTCAGGTGTGAAGCAGGTAGCGTCTGGCACAGCAGGCAGCCTCCAGCTCTCACGGGCCTTCCTGTCTGGTTAAGTGCCTATGTCATGCCCATTGTTAAATTTTGAATCTCATTCCAGAGCTAGGTTGGTCTTACCTTCTTTTTCTGAAAGAGAATTTCTGTTGGAAGCTGTTTGGTCTTTCTCCCGTCTGACCAGCAGCCGTCTTCTCTGGAGAGACAGATATACCACAGCACATCCCAAACTGACCTGGCCTCCTTGAAGTCATTGGGACCAGGCAATATTTAAAGGCTGAGGTGGGCTCTGAGGGACATCGATGGCAGTCCCCCTGGCAGGCCTGGGTCCAGTTTTAAGCTCCTGTCCCACCCTCAGGAGTTGGGGACAGCAATACCCAATCCTGGTCTTGGGATCCACTGAATAGGAAGAACACTAGGCAGCTCCCGGTTCTTCCTGCCAACCCATTTCTCATCTGTCTTGCTTAAAGGCAGGGGCGTCTTGGCACCACCCAGCCCCATTTGGTTTTTTCTTCTCACCCAGCTCCTTTCAATAAAGTGTCAACCACAGACCTGGCTGGACTGGATTGACGAGTGTCAAGACAGACTGATGGGGAGAGAACAGAATTTTCTGTGTGCTGGAGGTACATTGATTTCTAAAGGGAAACCAGCAGGACTCTGCTCTGTCATGTAAAGTTTGCTGGGCTGTACTAGGTTAATAGGGCCATGTGTCGGGGAAGGACGGTGGGAATCTAAGAGCTGAGGTAGGAGCCCAGCCCTGCCACTCACTCTGATTTGTAGCAGACTCTTTAACTTCTCTAGCCCTGGTTGTGAAATACAGATTATATCCATGACTCAGCCAAGCCTAGTGAGTTGTGAGGACCAAATGAGGTCAAGTATACTTTGCAAGTAAAATATGCTGCCATTGGTTTTGTTGTACTGCACTATGGGGGTGGGGGACTTGGGAGTGGATAGAGACAAATATTTTCCAAGGCGACCAGCTTTTAAGCTGGTCATGACACCGTGATGGCCAGTAATGGCTATGCTTGCTGCTTTTGTATGAGAGAAAGTGTAGGTGGTGGGTAAGAGCAGGGACTCTATAATCTGACTTATAGTTCAAGTCCAGGTTCTACCATGTACCTGCTCTGTGGCCTTGGACAGGTTTTTCGTCTATAACATGATGATAAGAATAGCACCCACTTCATAGTGTTCTGGGTGAGGAACAAATTAGTTAATATTTCTAAATGCTCAGAACAGTACATGGCACATATACATACTATAAAGTGTTAAATAAAAACATCCGTGGAGAATTTGTTTTCTCTTTCTATTAATTTTGGGGGCTTCCGACAGACAAATCAGAAAAATTTTAAAAGTATATCAGTTTTTCTAAACTTTTCATAAAATATGTATTTGCATAAACCAACAAAATTAATGCCTTGGGAATTACATGTTACCAAGAATACATGGAATGGGAATAGGAATATATGTTACCAAGTGTGTACTTTTTGCTGTAACATCCCAGTGAACAACAGCTTACTTATTCTGATACCTTGTTCTTCAAGGAGAGAGGAAAGGAGGAATGCAGTTAAAAACCAAAGAACAATCTGGCAATAGAGCAGTGCATACTTCATTATGTTACTGTTTTCCCATTTCTGTTCCCTAAATATGATACTGGGAATTTAAAAGTAGATGCTCATTGAACAATTTACATCAGGTATCCTGCTAGTGGTTTCTTAATGGAAAATGTGAATATTGCAGGTGAAATCTGTTCTTAAAATCATGAAATTACCTTGTTGTTTGTACTGCCACCAATACGATGAAGAATTTGGTAGACTACCCACTTAGCTGGATTAGGAAAACGTGTCCCTAGTTTGTTTGGAAGAAGACATTTTATGAGTAGTGGCATTCTGTGTCTGGGAGCTATGGAGTAAAAGAATAAATGTCTACTATAATTTCTCAGGATGAAAAAATGAGGTAATTTTTTGCCAGACTGAAATGGACTGCCTGTTCTCGTTGCCACAGTTGAAAAACAAGTCTGATCTAATGGGTGGCTTGTGGCAGACACCACTATTGAACGACAACCATTAATTCAAAAACCGAAATAGCACTGAGAGGTATCGAAGTGACTGCACTGAGTGGTCTTTCTCAAATGATGCACTTTACCAAACCACAGAGGACAAGAATTACTTAAAAGACATTAAGAGTTTTAACTATTTTGGGCTTTATCACATTTTTTAAAAAATTGAGGTAAAATTCACATAACAAAATTAACCATTTAAAAAATTTTTAATTTCTGTGAGTACATAGAAGATGTATGTATTTATGGGGCACAAGAGATGTTTTGATATGGGCATGCCATGTGGAATAATCACGTGATGGAATGTTAAGTATCCATCCCCTTAAGCATTCATCCTTTGTGTTACAAACAATCCAATTATACACTTTTAGTTATTTTAAAATGTATGATTAATGTTGACTATCCTGATGTGCTATCAAATAATAGGTCTTATTATTTCTTTCTAAATATCTTTCTGTACACATTAACCGTCACCATCTTTCCCTAAGTTTGCCCATTACCCTTCCCAGCCTCTGATAGCCATACTTCTACTCTCTGTGCCCATGAGTTCAATTGTTTTGATTTTTAGATCTCACAAATAAGTGAGAACATGTGATGTTTGTCTTTTTGGTCCTGGCTTATTTCAAAATTAACCATTTTAAAGTGTATCATTCAGTGGTGTTTAGTACATTCACAGTTCATTACCTCTGTCTAGTTCTAAAACATTTTCATCATCCCACAAATTAACCCTTTATCCATTAAATAGCTACTCCCTATTCCCCCGACTTCATTGCTTATTTTTATAAGAAAGACTCATTATCATGGTTTTGTGTGTGAGCTTTGTTTTTAAAAGCTATTTGTTTGGTACTTTTTCATAATGTGTTTTGTTTGTTTGTTTAAAGGGTGAGTGATTTTATTAAATGTGGACATTTAGGGAGATTTGACTTTCCTGATTTTAGAAGGAAGGTAAAACTGTAGGGAAAGATGACTTACTTCTTAACTTCCTGAGAGCACTGACTGAGGAGGATTCATTGTAAGACATAACTGAGTGAGATTAACTTTGGGAGATGTACTCAGTAAGAATAGCCCAGGACAGCTCAAGGATGGGACAGACCTCTTCAAGCAATTGAACTCTTTCAAATTCCAGGAAATGAAAAGTCACCGCAGGAAAATGTTGCAGCCCACATATCCTGTTTTTCTTATAGTCTTCTTCCTTCATTCTCCCCTCTAAGGCCTTAGCACCATCTAAAAGAGAGAGAGTCAGATGTTAAAACTGCCAGCAAAGGCCGACCTTAATGTTAGTTGGGGGTGGCTGCCGAGTCCTGCTGGGATGCTGTAGTGGGGAGAGAATCCTCTTTCTGGCTTCTCTGGGAGTGATCCAGTTTGCATCAAATAAATACTGAAGAAAATAGTTTGTTTACCTAGTCACTTTCCATATCTGTTACATATTGGTAGTGATATTGGTCATGGATCATCAGAACATATTAGAGATAGATTTCAGAGAATATTAGTGGTCATTAATTTCTTTTTGCTCCCTAATTCAAGCAACAAAAATAAAAATGATATCAAAAGGTGTGTCACAAGGTCTAGTACATATAGCTAATTTTCCATAGTGTGTGCTATGTGTAAGACTAGTCTGTGCAAATCAAAGTATAAATGTAATATATGTTTCAGGAAGTTACTAAGCCATTTGGGGGCATCATTAATCATCATTTGCTAATTTTTAGATTTGAATGCATAATACATCTAAATATTCACATATTATGGTTGCTTAAAGCATGGCTGTTATAGTCTTCATTTAGATTCATGGAGAAATAGTTATAATAAGAGTGTAGATCAGCTTCACAACTAAATAAATTACTAATGCAGAATCATATTTACTGCCCTGGTCTGCTACTGAAAGGAGGTAAAGAAATAGAAAAATTGAGTGGATGAAATATTTATTTTATTTTTAATTTTATTTATTAACAATTTTTTTTGAGACAGAGTCTCTCTCTCTCTCTCACTCAGGTGGCTGGAGTGTAGTGGTGCGATTTCAGCTCACTGCAACCTCTGCCTCCCAAGTTCAAGTGATTCTTATGTCTCAGACTCCTGAGTAGCTGGGATTATGAGTGTATACCACCATGCCTGGAAAATTTTTTTTGTGTGTTTTTAGTAGAGACGGGGTTTCACCATGTTGGCCAGGCTGGTCTTGAACTCCTGTCCTCAAGTGATCTGCCCACCTTGGCGTCCCAAAGTTCTGGAATTACAGGTGTGAGCCACCACCCCTGGCTGGATGAAATAACTTGTTTCCTTAGCATAATTTTAATTTGTATGGAATAGTAATTATAATTAGAAATATCAAACCCTTTAACAGTATTTTTCCCACCAAAACTATGAAAGCAACACACGGTCATGACAGAGAATCTGGAAATTTTTCTATGTATATTTCATGCAAATTGTGTTCTTATCACATGTGAAATTTTGTGCCCTACGTTTTTCATCTACTATGATATTATAAACATTTCCCAATATCTGAAATTTGCTCTCAGTAGGCATCACCCTACTTACTTATAAAGTCATGGTGTTATCAACTGATGGGGAAAAGATGTTTAACATGTGTATCTTTACTCAGAAAGTTTTTAGAACATTTGGTTGGTACAGGCCAGAGCACATATGGTGTGTGTAATTAGCTAACCCCTCAGAGTTGCTTGGGGTTTCTGGACTGGCTGAGTTACTGATTCATATCTTTTAGCTCTTTGGCCTGATTAATGGTTGAATTGCATATTAATTTTTCTCATACAGAAAACGTTCATTCTCTCTGAACATGAAGAGCTAGGATAATGATTTTCTCAAAATAAGTGGCTAGCAGATGTTGATATTAAAGTGTTCAAGGGCTGAGGCCTTGTTTAAGAGAAAACCAAGCTTCTGGCTGTTTTTTATGGTTTTAATTCTAGACCTTTATCTTTTTATGAAAACATATATATCATCTTTTGGAATTTCTGCAAGGAAGAAGTTTTATTAATATTCTATTTTGATATACAAATGTCTTGCTTTGGTTGTAGAAGAGTGTAAGATGTGTGTGGGGAATTCATATATGTACTTCTTCGAAGTTCATGGGAAAAAAACTCAGCCATCTATTCATGTATTAATTTTTCAGTAGTGTTTAATTATATGGCTTATGTGCTTATTTAAGTGTATAAAACCACATTGTTTATTAGAATATGATAGAATTTTGAATCTATGTATTTAAATCATTATATTCTAATTCATGAAAAGTCATATGGAATCAAACTTTTTTTTTTCTTCTAGCCAGATGAATTATACTTTGAGGAAGGTGATATTATCTACATTACTGACATGGTAAGCCCAGATAACATCTTGTAATACCACATATAAACTAAAGATTTGTAAGACTGTTTTATGTAGCTACAACACTATAAGTTATTTAAATGTATATTTACATAAAAATACATATGTACAAGTCTGTTCATTTTAGCACAATTGACAGTATCATAAGATTGAAAATGGTCATTATTTCCATCAATAGGAAAAGAGTTGAATAAGCTTTGGTCTGTCCACAAATGGAGTATTATGCAGCTATAGAAAGAAATGGGAACATCTCTATATGCTATTATGAGGTAATTTAAGTTAAAAAAAAAAACGGAAGTGAAAAAATGTAGATAGTGTATACTCACTCTTCTAAAGGGTGAGAGTGTATGTACACACACACACATCTGATGACTTATGAAGTAAAATTTAGTTTTATTTTATGAAGAGTAAAGATCCTTTCTCTAGGTGGAGGGAGGGAAATAGGGTAGAATGAACATGGATGAAAGATAAACTTTTTAGAAAATTGTATTTGTTTTGTGAATTTGACTTTGAACTGATATAGTTCAAAATGACATAGTTAAAAATTGAAGTAAAAAGCAATCCCTAAAAATTAAAAGCAGAATGAATCAAATGAACTTAATTGTACCCTAGTAATTGGCATAACCACACAGAGAGGAAATATTCCAAGTTTAAAACTCAGCGATTTGACTGAACATCCATAGTAGAATATGGATATATATGAAGGACATAGATACATATGAAAAATATATATATATGAAGGACAAAAATAACTGGCCAAAAAAAGTAAATTGTTTTAAGTCATGCTCTTGTTAGGGAAATGTTGGTAATGCTAATTCTGAGATTGTTGCATGTGTATTGTGGTTTAGAGCAAATGAGTCATTAGGTCAGTGATGTTGCTAACGGATTTTCAGCATGGTAGAAAGGATACACAGATGTAAGATTAATGACAGTTTAAGAAAAACTCTGTATTCCTTCATCTGAATTGGAATAATCACGTTGTATTTTTTATCTAAAATAAAACAAAAATATTCCCTGCTGTGTTCTTTGAAAGGGCCTAGGAAAAATGTCCAACCCAATAATAACATGTTATTTTCCACTGAAATGAATAGGATTCTTTGAGAAATGGCTGGTACCAAGCCGGGGTAGCAGAGGTACAAGATAAACCCAGAACATCCTCTGACTAGAAAACAAGGAAGTTCCCAAAGACAGTAGAGTCACGTTGAAAGGACTTGGGAATTAACTTGAAGAGATTCCCATTGGCCAAAGATAGGACAATTTGAGCATCAGTTAGAGCAACAACTTCCAAGAATTGAAGCACATTAAATACATTTACATTTATGAGTTCCTAATGTTACTTCTGAACACATCTCGTTGGTCAGCATGAGAGAATGCTAGGAAACCAAGTTTTTATTCTGACAACTGTTAAGGAAAAGAATCACCATTTATTGTGTTTTCTTTATGAATTTCTTATCCGGGCAACCTGAGAGTTGATGAGGGAAAGTTTTTGTTTAAAGAGGTATTCAGGTTATTTCAATGAAGAAGGAATAATAGAATTAGAATGCCACCATCTTGCAGCCCCTAGGAAAAAGTGGATCTAGACAATGATTATCAAGGGGTACTAACATTGCAAAAAGAAGCCGACTAGACAGTACGCATTTCCCAATGGAAGAAATCAATACTGCCTAGGAAATGGCCTTGCCCAAAAAAATTGAAGCTGAATCTAAGTAAACCTCTAGAACGAATGACCAACTTACAGGCAATACAGGAAACAGAGGAACATGTTTAATGATAACACAGGCTGCAACATGCAAAATCCATGGAGGTTTCAACTACAGAACAACTCATTTCTTCAACAAATCTATTGTAAGAGATAAAAAAGAGTGGAGAGAGAACCTATAGATTAAAAGATACTTAAAAGACAAATCAGTCATATTGTATAGCCCTTACTTGAATCCCAAATTATGGAGCTGTTGGGAAATTTGAGTATTGACTTAGATATTTGATATTAAGGAATTATTGTTGGAAAAAAACTTTTAAACTGTGATAATGGCATAATTGTCTTTCAAAAAGTATGTATCTTTCAGAGATACATACTGAAATGTTTACAGATGAAATAATATGTCTAGAATTTATTTCAAAATAATCTAGGAGGGGAGGGTGGTTGTGGGGCGATATATGAAATAATGTCGGCCATTAATAAATGATTTGTGCAGTTGGGAAACTGATATATATATATACATATAAGGTCATTACATTGTTCTTTCTACTTTTTAATAGGTTTAAGTTTTTCTGTAATAAAAAGTTACCCCCAAAATGAAGATAATATAAAGAGATCTTTAGAACTTCCTTCCCCCATAAAAATATTATCTCAAAGCTAAGAGAAATGAAATTCTGGACACAAAATCATATAGCTAGTTGAAAGTAGTGTAACTTTTTTCCTTCTGTTTCATATTATTTCTGATTTGTTTGGTTGTTGAGAGTCTGTGATGAAGCATATTCCGTTTGTTGCAGGTGGAAGCATGTTTATTTGTAATTTAGTGTCAAGGGAGATGGCCGCCCATAGCTAGGGTATGAGGAAGCTTGATAGTATCGGTAGGGCTGGTGGACATTTTGTAGAACAGGTACTCCCTAGGAGCCAAATAATTTGCAAAGTGAATGAATGCTGTCTGGATTTAATACCACTTAATTTAACTCTTCTTTCACCAGAGCGATACCAATTGGTGGAAAGGCACCTCCAAAGGCAGGACTGGACTGATACCAAGCAACTATGGTAAGTGTTGCTGAGTGGTTTTACTTTCACTTGGAATGTTTTGGTTCTTGAGGCTTTTCTGCTTGCCACTGTGGCTAAGAAGGCAATGAAGTCATTGTCAGTCTAGGAAATTTTCCATTCCATGAGCCTCCTGTTAATAAACTGGCCATGAACACCAGATGTGCTTGAGCCGGACTCTATGGCCTAAGAGAATGCTTTATAGCATTCTTGAAAGAACCCAAGGTGTCCAAGGAAACAGTTATGGTTTTACTTTCTTCTACTCTTAAAACAATTTTTTTTTTTAATGCTGATTAACTCGATCTCGCAGATCATTTCTTAGACTAGCCCTTTGTTTTGTGATGAAGTAACACGAACTTGTTAATTCATGTTCGGGGCAGTGATGTTCATTAAATGCTTATCGTTGACGGTTTGGGGAGCTTGAGCAATGAGAGACACGGCTCCTGCCATGAAGCTCCTTCTAGCTGGAAGTGGGAAAACAGATAAAACACTTATTTAGATGTCAGCAGAGTAAAGTCAAAAGAGCACAGAATTGATAAACAAGGCTCCTGAATTTTAATCCTTTTTCTTCCATTTCCTAATAACACTTCCTACTGATTCTAGGACAACAGGGAATACATCTCTAAGATGCAGGTAGCTATGCTGATTGTTCTTTCTGAATACAGGAAGCAAAATATTCCCCCCCCCATCTGCTCCTACACAAATACACACAAGGGAATCAGAATTATTTTCAGGCATCTTTAAAGCAGGTGATCTACAAAATGTAAAAATGAACATCAAAAGCTTTCTTTTGCATTTTTGTGACTTTGTTTATTATACTTGAGTAATATCAAGTATGCATTTAACTCAGGTATGCAGGTTTGTTTCTTTTTGTTTACACTTCCAGTTAATTACTGTGTTACTGCCTTATTGCTTGGCTTGGTTTCCCTTAACACGTAATTCAGCTTCATTTAATGCAAGAACTATCTATTTGATTTTCTGTTACTTTTTATCCGTGTTAAGTAATGGAAACTGTGTTGAAGGCCCTGGTATTCCTGAAGCTGGGGACTGTAGTGAGTGAGTGGCTTCAGTGAATCATTTGTGTGGCAATTCAGCATTGGGTTAACGCTTTTTATTTTCAACCTAGTGGCTGAGCAGGCAGAATCCATTGACAATCCATTGCATGAAGCAGCGAAAAGAGGTAGGTGTGATTCTTTTTGATTGAGGTATGCAGTACAGTAAAATGCACAGATTTCAGTTAGTTTTGACAAATGCATCAAGATCTGGAACATTCTGCCATCCCAGAAAGTTCCTTTTGCACCTTCTCAGTTAAATTCCTGCTTTCCCCAGAGACAATCTGTCCCAACATCTATTACATTAGAGAATTGTGATTTTAATTTTAAAATGTCACTCAAAAATTACTTTTGAAGGGAGAAGCAAATCAAAGTCTGTGACTTCCAAAGCTCAATGTCTGGCAGGGGAAGGAGAGATAATAAAATATGATAAGATAAGTACAGCAATTGAAATGTGTTTAACGGGCCATAGGGGCCAGGGTGAGTAACTGGAGGGCAGGAGAGCGGAAGGGCCTGATGGGTACAGCGTTTAGGAGAGCGTTGGTGCGGTGAGCATTTAGCCAGGGAGGGCATAAACAATAGGGATGAACCTGGGGAAGATCCTTGGCCAAACAACGATGAGCCTGGTCTTGGGCTTTATTCTGTAGATCAGTAGTCCTCAGCTAGGGTGATTCCTCTTTCACAAACGCTGAGGATATTTGGCAATATCTGGAGACATGTTAACTGTCATGACTGGAGGGATGTTACTGGCACCTTTTGGGGAGAGACAGTGGTTGTTGCTACACATCGTACAGCACACAGGAGCACCCCCACAATAAATCAACCCCAAATGCCAATAGGGCCGATGCTGAGAGACCCTGCTGTAGATAATGGGGAGTTTTAGTCAAGTCTCAATGAGCTCTATTTCATTCCATTTTTAGATTTTTTTTTGAAATCTGAATATACAGAAGGAAATTATTGGTTAGGATTGTGAAAAAGTAAAACTACGAAACTGGCATTTGGGATATTAGCCTGAGGATTTTAAATTAATAGTTATAGTTTAGCATATAAGAGCAGCAGCTTTGACTAGGTTGTTTAGCCTTTCTTATAAGAACTGAAGATGCACTGTAAATATGAATATGAATAGTATCTGCTTGCTTCCAATTTTTAGAATTTCACAAAGAAAAAATAATATGTATGTATGTGTACACACACACACACAATAGAAATATCTTAAGTATACCCATGTAGGGAGCTCTTCCCATTAAGCTATCATTAAAAACATTGATGTTAATACTTTCTGTTAATAAGCTGGAAGTTAAAATGTACTATAATAAATGTACTAGTGGGCAGGTCTTTATGCAGAATGAAACAGAATGAAATAGATTTAAACGCAGAATAAAAACTGAAACTTTTTTTTCTTGTGTTTTTATAAATGTAAAATTCTTTCAGGCAACTTGAGCTGGTTGAGAGAATGTTTGGACAACAGAGTGGGCGTTAATGGCTTAGACAAAGCTGGAAGTACTGCCTTGTACTGGGCTTGCCATGGGGGTCACAAAGGTATTACATTTTGTTTGTTATATGTTTCTGTGCTACTGAAATGTGTTTCACCTAAGGGAGCCAGATTTACAAAAAAAATGAGAAAGAAAAAGCATTGGCTATTCTTTTTGAATCTTTTAGAACACCAGCCAAAAGCCTTGTTCCTGGGAGCTCTTAGAACAGTGGGTAGAATGTAGTCAGTCAGGCTCACTGCATGGGCCTCTCTCTCTCTTGAAAGCCTGGACACTTCCTTTCCTCTCTCAGGCTTAGAAAGGTTACCGGAAAATAGCAGTAGTATAAAAACAAAACCACTATCTAATCTTACGGAAGAAAGAGCAGAACTGGCTCCTCTAGTGTAGCTTTTCACGAGGTCTGCTTTTATGATTTACGTTTTAAGTTTAATGCAAACTATTAGATTCAAGAGAAAGCCAACATTTGCCTAAATTAGTGATTCTATTGATACTTTCTTTGTTATAATCAATAATGATGATGAATTGAATTTTTAGATGTATTTCATCCTGGCCAAAAATGTTATCACCCACTGCTTTTCTACCTCTCTATAACACAGGAAACAAACTCAACAACAATCATAAATGAAGAGCTCAGCAAATTAAATAGCAGTGCCAAAGGGAAATTTGTAACTGTCTCCTAAAAAGAAGCCTGTCTTATTTCAGCTAATAAACATGTTAGTTATATGAATACAAAGTATTATAATGAATGTAAAAATATTCCTAGAAGTGTCATATGAAAATGCAAAAGCCGAAACTATTAGAAAAAGTATATTTTCCTAAATAATTCCACTTTTTACGTTCTTAAGTTTTTCTGTTTTATAAATTTTACAAAATGTGTTAACATGTTCTCGATTGTGCTTCTAAAGAATCTCTCTTTTATAAAATTATTGTAACTAGATTTGGCCTTCTTATTTTCATTCTTAAAAAGTATCTTTTCTCTTTGAATTTCAGATATAGTGGAAATGCTATTTACTCAACCAAATATTGAACTGAACCAGCAGGTAAGACTGCTTATCTGGAAATCATTTAACACACACCTGCCTCTCTTTAGTATAGAGCAACTTATGGGCATGTGAAATATTGTTGTCAAAATACCACAAACACATAATTTAAAAATTATAATTGTACTAAAATTCAAATTGTCCACAGCCCCAAATGCCACTCCTCCTCACATGTCACTTTCAGCTTTTAGCTCTTTCTTCATGTACTTAGCTTTGTATTACTGAGGAATAGGCTGACGGAGCCATCTCATCATGCATTATCTTCCTGTGTATTTTGGCCTCCTGTTGGGTATGTGAAGGATTAAGCTTGTCAGCTGCCCCAGCTCTCGTCTTTCAGCACCCAGCACCCAACCTTTCCACCTCTACTCCTCAATGCACTTCATCACAGTTTTTGGTTATATTACTATATAATGTTTACTTTATTATGGGTGGTTAAATAGTATTCACTGCTTATATAACTTTTTTTTGTTTCTTTACTTATTGACTTTTTAAAACTCATTTTTTGTTATCTCACTGTGACTTCTATATTGTTTTATACAGTCTTGATATATAGTACTTTTCTGAAATGTTTAAGAAAATGTTTAAGATAATCAGTAGCTTTCTTTTTTCTCCCTGAACTCATGCTTCCTGATACTCTCCATCATTCTCCAGTCTGAGCAGTTTGGTTCCTGCGGCCCTTTACCTGTCCTCCAGGGAACCCCTTCCATTCTCTGCCATGTTGTGTCTTCATTTTTCTGGATCCTTTGTCTTTCTTTTGTCAGAGAACATCTTCAAGTAGATTCCTGAGAAACAGAAGCTCGGGATTGATTCTTTGGCTGATCAGAATTCTAGGTCAAAAACAGTTTCCCTCAGAATTTTGAAGGCATGGCTCTGTGGCATTCTGGTTTCCAGGGTTGCTTTTGAGAGGTTTGGTGCCATTTTGATTCTTATTCTTTTATGTGCGATCTACTTTTTCTCTTGCTAAGAATATTTACTTTATTGTTGGTGTTTTAAAATTTTATAATCATGTGCCTTAGCATTCATCTTTTCCCAGTGATTATGATTAACTCTTTCAGCCTGGAAAATTATCTTGTATTATTTCTTTTAGAGTTTTTATCTGACACTTCTTTGTTCTTTTGGTTCTAGAATGCCCATTAGTAACATACTGGCCTTCTTGGATTGAACCTTCAATTTTCTAAATATTTCCCAGAGATGTTCTCACCTTTGTTTTGTTTTGGTTATCTTTTTAATTCCCCAGAGTTCTGTATTAGTTTTCTTTTGCTGCCTAGCAAATGACCACAGGCTTAGCAGCTTATACTTTCTGTACATCAGAATTCTGGGTGTGGCATAGCTGGGTTTCCTGTTCAGGGTCTCCCAGGTGGAAATCAAGGTACTGGCTAGAACTGTATTCTCATCTGGAGCTTGGGGTCTTCTTCCAAGTGCATTTAGGTTATTGGAAGAATTGATTTTCTTGTACTTGTAGTACCACTGAGGCCCTCGGCTTTTAGAGGCCGCCCGTCTGTGTACACAGCTCACAGTATGGCTGTTTGTTTCTTCCTGAAGGCCAGAAGGAGATTGTCTCTCTGCTGTTTCATCTTTTTTTTTTTTTTTTAAGGGCCCACCTGGTTAGGTCAGGTCCACCTGAGATAATGTCTCTTCTGATGAATTCAGCATCTGCTGACTAGACACCTAACTGCAGAAGTGATGGCCTATTATACTCACTGCTTTCACTCACAGTCAAGAGGAGGGAATTATACAGGGGACCTATGCCAGGGGCAGGGACCTTGGGAGCTATCTTAGAATTCTGTCTGGTTATAACCTCTTATTTTACTCTGAGTGTTACTTTTATGTAGTATCTTTTTCTTGTTTCATGACACAATATGATCGTACATCTTGCTGATACACTATAACTTTTCAAAATGTATTTTTTGGCTGTTGACTGTTTTTTCCCTTGAAGATCCATTTATCTTGTTTGTGTTGGTCTTTCCTAAAATATTGTAGGCTGTCCACAAATACTTGGTGTCATTATCTATTTATTTATTCATTCATTTATTTATTTAATTTGAGAGGGAGTCTGGCTCTGTTGCCCAGGCTGGAGTGCAGTGGCACAATCTTGGCTTACTGCAGCCTCCGCCTCCTGAGTTCAAGCTATTCTCCTGCCTCAGCCTCCCAAGTAGCTGGGACTAACAGGCCTGTGCCACCAGGCCAGGCTAATTTTTGTATTTTTAGTAGAAATGGGGTTTCACCATGTTGGCCAGGTTGGTTTTGAACTCCCAACTTCAGGTGATCCACCCTCCTCAGTCTCCCAAAGTGCTGGGATTACAGGTGTGAGCCACCATGCCTGGCTCTTATCCATTTATTTTTAAGTGTGATTGGAAGCTGTGTGTGTTTGGTGAGGCCTGCTGGCTGGTGGGCTTCTCCTCAGGGTGATGTGGTAAGGTCCTGGCTATTTTGCTAGGTGACTCCCAAATGCTAATGAAAGTACACTCCTCTTCCCTGCACATGGGGCTACATTGCTTCACCAGAGAAGTGCCCTCCAGTCTCCTGCCTGGGGGTATGTGCACACTGGGCAGTGGGATATGTAAAGGCACCTGAGAGAGGGGTCTTAATGTTCAGTTTGTAGGTTTTTTGCCTAACCCTTAGCTTTTAGTTTCTGGCCTTTTGTTACCTTCTCTTGTACCTAGTGTTGATGAACTTGGAAACTGTCAGGTTAATTTCTCAGCAAGTAATATTGAGTTATCTGGCAGCAAGAAAAGGGGAAGAGGTTCTGAAATTCTAAGTACTTTTTATGAATACTTTTAACCAGTATCTCTGTTTTCATACCCATGCCTCATTTCTGCCCTGGTACCTCTAGTAATCTCCAATTCCTAATTTTTGCTAGGCTGCTACATGTTCAAATCAGCTTGCTTCCTCCTGGGATCTCCCTCTGCAGGCATCTGCATTTCAGCCTGTGCTCTACCAAGTCAGCTTGTACCCCTCCATCCCATTCTATCTCTCAAAAATGACTCATCTCCTATCTCTTAAGTCTCCTTTCCTTTTCTCTTTGGAATTTTATGTGGTTTTTTAACTTTGTTCCCATTTTAGGTTTAATTGGATTAAACCTAAATTAACATGTACTTTTAATCCACCCTCTGTCTTAAAAATGGTACTTTCTCTTTTTATCACCATCACCATAGAACAAATTGGGAGACACAGCTTTGCATGCTGCTGCCTGGAAGGGTTATGCAGATATTGTCCAGTTGCTTCTGGCAAAAGGTAAAGTTTGTGTTGAGTTTATCTGGTCTTTGCTTACCCTATAAAATAGTCTCTATCAAGTTACGTCATTTGAAATGGTAGGAAGAATAAAAGTCTTATTTCAAAATGTGGTTTAACCTTTGCTCTGTCTGTGTATCATGGAATAGTCATGATAAGATTAAATTATTAGGGGTTGGTTTGTTTTAGTTTTTAGTATAAACTAAAACCAGGGCAAGCTTTAACACTACATATATTACTTTTGGTAAGAACTGTATTGTGTGTTTCTCCAGGATCATAGAGCCTTAGAAACAAAGAATGTGTGTCAGGGGGAGATCCTGTCTGAGAAAGCTGTATAGGTAAAGTTGCTTAGGCCCTTGTTCTCATGGGGGAGTCTTGACTGATGAGCAAGAATGATGTGGCTACAATGTCCTGTTTTGAGTTGAGCAGGTGTAAGATGTAAAGTGAACAAGAGAGGATATCTTGATCCCCTGTTTTTATAAGTCAGAGAAAACAGCGAAATTATAAACTGACTATCGCTTTACCCATTTGACCCACAAATACTAGTTTCCTCTTAGAAAAGGCCAGGCAGATCACCCATACCATACCCTAGTCCAGAAGCCTATCATGTAGGATGTTTGATTCCCCAAGATACAACTCATGGAATTACCTTCATTAGGGATCCACAGAGCAATATTGTGGGATATATGATAGGAAATGGTTTAGATTTTAAGTCTGGTGATGTCAGGTCCAGGTCTAAAAGACCATACACTGTGATGATCACTCTAGTGCCCTGTAAAGGGTATGCTGAGGGCTTCGATGTCCAGTATGGCAGCCACTACCCACGTGCACAGCTGAGCCCTTTAAATGAGGCTATCTGAATTGAGATCTGCTATAAGTGTAAAATGCATACCAGATTTCAAAGATTTAGTGAAACAAAAAGCTAAATATCACTGTAATTTTTATGTTGGTTTTATGTTGAAATAACATTTCAGATATACTGGATTAAATATATAATTAAAATGAACTTCGCATTTTGCAAATTGGCTACTAGAAAATTAAAAATTAGATATATGACTCACATTATATTCCTATTAGTGCTTGTCTAGAGGGACCCAGGAAATGGTTGTGTTTCTTCTCTGCCATCACTGTCTCTGAATATTTCCTGTTCTGATAGAAATCATGTCTATAAGCTCTAAAGTATAATATAATATATGATTAGTCACAGAAGTGTTAACCCTCAGGAGTTTTCAACCTGTAGCGTACTGAGAGAATTAGGTTTTTTATATAACCCTACTGTGAATACAGCAATCTGCTTAGGAGAAAGATTTTGATGCAAGATCATTATATTACTAATTAAACATACTATTTTTTTCTTGATGCAGTATTTCTGTGCCTTCAAATTTGGGTACACGTCTTTCTTTTCTTTTTCTTTTTCTTTTTTTTTTTGAAACTGGATCTCACTGTATTGCCCAGGCTGGAGTGCAAGTGGAGCAATATCAGCTCACTGCAACCTCTGCCTCCTGGGCAGTAATTCTCCCACCTCAGCCCCCTGAGTAGCTGAAATTACAAGTGTATACCACCACACATGGCTAATTTTTATAGAGATGGAGTTTTGCCATGTCACCCAGGCTGGTCTTGATCTCCTGTACATAGCAATCCGCCTGCCTCAGCCTCCCAAAGTGCTGGGATTACAGGCATGATGGACTACTGTGCCGGCCTATTTTTTGTTTATTGAAGGGTAAGTGGTTGCAAAGAAAATGACACTTTCCTACACTGTGTCAGAAAGTATGAATTGATAAAACCTTCTTGTTTTTTTGTTTTATTTTTTTTCGAGAGTGAGTCTTGCTCTGTTCCCCAGGCTGGAGTACAGTGGTGCAATCTTGGCTTACTGCAATCTCCGCCTCCTGGGTTCAAGCAATTCTCATGCCTCAGCCTCCCAAGTAGCTGGGATTACAGGCACCTGCCATTACACCTGGCTAATTTTTGTATTTTTAGTAGAGACGGGGTTTCACCAGTTGGCCAGGCTAGTCTTGAACTCCTGACCTCAAATGATCTGTCTGCCCTGGCTTCCCAAAGTGCTGGGATTATGGGTGTGAGCCACCATGCTTGGCTGAAAGCCTTCTTGGAAAGCAATCTTAAAATCAGAGATGAAAAAGGAGATATTACAGCTGATACCACAGAAATTCAGAGGATCTTTCGAGACTAGTATGAAAAGTAATCTGACAGTAGCTGGCAGAATTTAAAAGGATATTCACTGGAGTATTTGTGATAATGAAAATTAGGAGTAGCCTAAGTGCCCATCAGTACAGGAGGAATTAAATTGTGGAGCATCCACAAAATGGAATACTTACAAGCATTTAAATAGGTTGAGTTACGACTATGTGTATTGCTAAGAAAACAGCACCATTAGACATTAAGTTTTAAAAACATGAAATTACAGACCAATACGTGTAGTATGATTTTATGTCTATATTAATATGTGTATGAATGCACTGATGCAAATAAGGGAGATAAGAACTCACGCCCACTTGTTAAGAATGGTTACCTTTGTAGTGGGTAGAAGATGAGGGAATGAAACTTGTGCTTTTGGTCAGCATACATTTGTATTTTTGAATCCTTAACAATGCAAATGTATTCATGAATTCTGATGTAATTTTTAACATAATAAAGGCAAAGGAAAACTGGGTAAAAGATAGCTTATGGAAATAATGAATTACCTCTCGGTTTTATGTGTTGCTATTCTGCTAATTTGCATGAGAGCACACTTGCAGATATAAAATATTAATCCCCTCAAGCACTACCCACTTGGTCTTTTCTAAAGACCCTCTTGAGCACAAGAGGAGGCACAGGGCTCATTGAAGTTAAACTCCACGGGGACCATAAACTCCCGACTGAAAAGTTCACATGCAGTTCTATAGGGACTCGAAGGGAAAGGCGCTACTTTACTTCTGGGCCAGAGTTGTTCTCTAGTTTGTTTTGCCAAAAGTGTTTAGTCATAGGGAGAGAGAATTGGCTGCTACTATATAGTCTTTAAAGATACCTAATTGACTTTTCTTGTGTTGGGAAGGTGCTAGAACAGACTTAAGAAACAATGAGAAGAAGCTGGCCTTTGACATGGCTACCAATGCTGCCTGTGCATCTCTCCTGAAAAAGAAACAGGGAACAGGTATTTGTTTTAAATCCTTCTTTCTCCTCTGGTGTTTCATAACTAAGATTTATTAACTTAGAATTGCGCAAAAGAGATAAACTTGGCCGAGTGCAGTGGCTTATGCCTGTGATCCCAGCACCTTGGGAGGCCAAGGCGGGAGGTTCACTTGAGTCCAGGAGTTGGAGTCCAGCCTGAGCAACGAAGTGAAGACTCCATCTCTACAAAAGGTACAAAAAAATTAGCCAGGCATGGTGGTGTGGGCCTGTAGTCCCAGCTGCTCAGGAAGCTGAGCTGGGGAATCACTTGAGTCCCCGGAGGTTGAGGCTGCAGTGAGCTGTGATCGCACCATTGCTTTCCAACCTGGGTGAGAGAGAGACTGTATCTCAAAAAACAAAAAACTCTTCAGATAATTCTGAAGTTTTTTTATATATCATTGATCTTAATCAGAACCCCCAAAATAGGACACCCTCAGTCAAACAGAAATTAGTTGAGAAACATGGATCTTTTACTACCTTTATTGTGTGTGTTTCTTTTATTCCTTGCAATCAAGTTCTAATCACCTTGCATTTCATTACAGTCATTTTTGGAGAACCGTCATCTTCATTCCCTCATTTCAATATGTGATTTCAATGAGTGATTATCACTAAATATTTTTAAATATAGCATTTAATAGTTCCATGATTATATTTTGTTTTTGTTTTTAATGAGGATATCAATAAATTGTAATCAAAATTATTCTAGACATTTTAGACTTTATTCATAGTACTATGGGCAGTTTTTTAAAAAAAGAGTTTAAGTGTACATTATTGTTTTTTTTAGATGGAGTCTTGCTCTGTTGTCCAGATTGGAATGCAGGGGTCAGTCATACCTCAGTAGCCTCAAACTCCTGGACTCAAGTGATCCTCGCATCTCATCTTCTTGAGAAGATGGGACTACCAGCATGTGTTATCATGCCCAGCTAATTTTTTTTTAATGTCGAGATATGGGTCTTGCCTTGTTGCCCAGGTTGGTCTCGAACTCCTAGACTCAAGCCATCCCCCAATCTCAGCCTCCCAAAGCATTGGGATTACAGGTGGAAGCCACTGTGCTTGGCCTCCTTTTATTCTTTATTCTAGATATGTCTTTGTTCCAGATTTCTTTTCTTTTTTAGCTTCAGTTTGAATATAGTATAAACTGTTAATCAGTTTGGGATTCTTTAATTAACCCATGAGTGCTCACCTGCAGTGCAAGCCTTTCTTTAATTCCTCCTGCATAGATGGAGATGGGCTCTGCTAAGGGAATGAGAAAGTATCAGCTGAGCTGGTACTCCCCAGCTACATTATGATTGAGGAGCCATATTTGCAGCTGTGTGAGAGACACTTCTGCTTGAGGTTGACCTCCTACTCCTTGTTGCCTTGATTGGATCAGGAAGTAGGACTCTGGCCTAACTTCCTTTCTCTGCCACTGACTTCCTGTTGTGTGGCTATCTTCAGCCTGCCCTGACCAAAGAGTAAGGTTTCTTATGACCTGAAGGTATCAGAGTCTCGTGCATGCTGTGAGCTCCATTTTGACAGAAAAGGCATATACCAAACTTTCTTAGACCCTAGAGAGCTCACCCAGAAGCCTTACTCAGGAGTGGTTAGAGGTGAGGGAAGCAGGTGATGAGTCTTTCTGCAGCCTCTGCAGAATAGGGCTCGGAGGCAGATACTCTTTTCTCTGTGCACCCCAAGTATGTTTAGTCTACCTTCCTAAATTTGAACTGGTTATTAGGTAATGGATTCATTAATGTGGTAATCTTAGGGTCTGCCAGACAGAGCCAAGAAATGAATTTTTATATTTCACTTTTCATGTTACTTTTTACTTGCTTCATTTCCCTAATTATACAGTTAAAAAAAAAAGGTTTAATTTGTATTATGATCCTCGTTGGAATAGGGTTGGACTATTTGGCCAAGGAGTTGATTGTCAGCATGAAATCTAAGTTGGAAAAGGTATATTCTGATATTGTTGTCCACTTTTTTTTTTTTTAGACAGAGTCTCACTCTGTCGCCCAGGCTGGAGTGAGGTGTTGCCATCTCAGTTCACTGCAACCTCTGCCTCCTGGGCTTAAGTGATTCTCATGCCTCAGCTTCCCGAGTAGCTGGGATTACAGGTGGGCATCACCACGCCTGGCTAATTTTTGTATTTTTAGTAGAGGTGAGGTTTCACCTTTGTATCCTGTCTGGTCTTGAACTCCTGACCTCAAGAGATCTGCCTGCCTTGGCCTCCCAAAGTGCTGGGATTACAGGTGTGAGTTGTTGTCTACTTTTAGAAACACAATATGGATTTTATAATAGGTACAAAATAAGTCACATGTTGCAGTTACTGTGGAAGATAACTAGGATATAGGGCCCGGGGTTAGGGTTATACCTAAGAGTTGAGTCCTTTAAAATTTTTTTCCAACTTTAAAAAATTTGAGTATAATTTACATTAAGTACGTAAATCTTAAGCATACAGTTTGATGAATTTTTTTACACCTGTTTGCCACAACCCAGATTAAGCTAGAGAACAGTTCCCACACGCCACATGCCTCCCTCAGTGTCTTCTGCTTCTCTCCCGTAGATTAGTTCTGCCCGTTTGTGAATTTTATTTAAGTGGAATCAAACTGGGTATACTTTTTTGTGACTGGCTTCTTTCATTTACATTACGTCTATAAGATTCATCCATGTGACTGTGTTTATTCCTCCATCATTTATTTATTGTTTGTGTGTTTGTTGGTGGGTCTTAAATGCTGCTTCTTGATTTGAGATGTGTAAAGCCAGGGTGGTGGGATTGAGGAAAAATGAACATGAGCTAGGGGAGGATGGCAGTGCTGCCGGGGTATACATTTCCATGCGCGCTATACCCGGAGGTGGGCTGTGAAGAAATACATCTCATCACTCAACACCTGACCATGTGGGAGGTTTCCCTGAGAAAACTGCCTCAGAACAGTTCCTGAAGGGAAGAAAGGAGAAGGAATTTATTTGCCTGACTTGGAAAGACAGTAATTTATTTACCTGTCTTTTGATGACCACTCAGCCAGTCTCTCTGTAGCAAATCATCCTCTCTTTTTAATAGAAGAAGTAAGAATAAAATAACGAGCAGAAATAAGCATCTGGGCACACAGAATATGGGCAACACTTTGGATAGCAATGTAGAAGGGGAAAGAGCTTTCCTATTCGTCTCTCAGGCTTTAGGAGAAAGCTACTTTTTAGCAAGTTGACATGAAGTCCTGAAGTTCCTGGGTGTGTGTTGGGGGAGAACAAAATATATTCTTTCCAGTCCTTGTGGACTCCTCTTGAGCAGAGTGGAGAAGAATAGAGTCAACCTTCTAAGCTTTATACTAGCTTGGAAGCTGGTATAAAGTCACTGAAACATGGCCAGGTGTAGTGGCTCACACTTGTAATCCCAGCAGTTTGGGAGGCAGGAAGGATTGCTTGTATCCAGGAGTTCAAGACTAGCCTGTACAGCATAGTGAGACGACGTCTCTACAGAAAAATTAAAAACTAGCTGAGTGTGGTGGTGCACGCCTGTAGTCTCAGCTGTTTGGGAGGCTGAGGTAGGAGGATCGCTTGAGTCCAGGAAGTTAAGGCTGCAGTGATCCATGATTGCACCACTGCACTCCAGCTGGGTGACAGAATGAGATCCAGAAAAGAAACTTCCCTCTGTTCTGCTTTCTTTCCTTTTCTCTCTTGCAAGATAAATCGGCTTCCACCTTCCTGGTACTGATCCTCCCTTCTCCTTTTCTTTTTCTCAATAATCATTTCCCAAAACCTGTAAACAGGAGGACTCTTAAAAAAAAAAAAAAAAAAA